ACACACACACACAACACACACACACACACACACACGCTCACTGTCCATCTGTGATGAGGAACAGTTGACATCAGCAGGAGCTGAGCTAATGTTAGCACTGAGTTCATGGGAAACACACCTGTCATCAGCACCTCCTGTCCTCACATCTTCAACAAATGCACACTCAACACACACAAAAGGTCCTTGCACACTGAGTCCCAAATTTTCATATGCGTATTTTCGTTTTCGTCATCCACACAGTCAGATGCGTCAAAACACCTCTTAAATTGCATGCTACGGATGCGAAAGCTCAGAAAATCAAACCCATTTCTAATTTTTTTATGAGGGACAAAAGTTTCGGAGGCGGTGTGTAAACGTGATTGACACAACGTGAGGTCGTATTTATTTTTTAACTTGCGAAAACTTCGAACTCAGTGTGCAAGGGCCTTTACACCTCAGTTTAAGATGCATGTATTGCTCATGAAATGTCCATCTATTAGCATTACACACAGTTTTGACTTGTATAAGCATAATGTGATGCATATTTGTCAGTCATACACAAATGAATCACCAATAAATCTACCAGTAATTGAATATTGCTTATTCCACAGCTAGCCATATTTTAATCATGTTCATACATTTAAATGGATAAATATAATTGTTTTCACAGTGAACAGATTTATGCTGATTCATTTAAATAAATGCATTTTGAAAATGCATTAAAAATAAAAAATAAAATATTTAAATAAAATCAGGTAATAATAAAAAAAGAAATATGCCATTTTTCTGATTGCATGAATTTCTTTTCTGTACAGCTGACAAATATGCATCACATTAAGTTATTAATTTATGTTAATACTGTGTAATCAAAATGTACAGAAAGCTCTATATAGGCTTAATTATTCATTCATTCATTCATTCATTCGGGGTATAAGGACCATTTCTGTTAATTTTTTTAGAAATATGCCATTTTTCTGATTGCATGAATTTCTTTTCTGTACAGCTGACAAATATGCATCACATTAAGTTATTAATTTATGTTAATACTGTGTAATCAAAATGTACAGAAAGCTCTATATAGGCTTAATTATTCATTCATTCATTCATTCATTCATTCGGGGTATAAGGACCATTTCTGTTAATTTTTTAACTAAAAATAATCTGTTAAAATGATTTCTTCTAAAAGTTAAACTCCACATCTATTACTTTACATTCCTGGTCTTATTGTGTTTTTTTTTCTGTCTAATTTTTAATCAAAATCTAATAGCTTGGTCTGCCTCTAAAAAGGCTTTTTTGTTGTCATATGATGTCTCCAAGTCCTATTATTTTTAGCCCCTTTCATCTGTCATATAGAGACGCTTTTCACTATCCAATTAGTTCTGGATATCACACCATGCATTGTGTCCCGCTGAATATCCAGTTTCACTGCGAAATATAGAACAATGTGGAAGTTACATGGGATACAAACTGTACTGTTAACTAGAAATGAAACTCAAAATATTTGGTAATGAAAATAACGCTAAAATCAAATATAAATATTAGACGAAAAGCTTACAATAAAGAAATAAATAAATCAAACATTGAGAATTACTGCCTTGGTAATGAACTGAAATAAATATGCGAAGTACTAAAATGCCTAAAACTAATTCTGAAATTAAAATAAGCCAGAAAAGAAATATAAAAAATATTACATATACAAAAGTGCATAAAAATGTGAAATATTTTCAAATTAAATGAAATAATGAAAATGACTATAACTTTAACAAAAATTAAATTCAAACCGAAAAGGTCGAAATAAAAGCTCATTTGCAATGCTATAATATTATATTAATGATACTAGGAAATATTACAGTGTAAAGTTAACAAAGTTTATTAAACAAAACAATTTACTCATAATTTGTTGTTGTTTTTATTTATGTTATAGTAATTATAAAATACCAAAGGTATTGAACTGGTTAATATTATATTTAATAAACATTTGAAACTAAAAAAATATTTGAAACAAAAAAAAAAGTTAATATATGGACAGAGCACTGGTAGGGACCCTACAATCCTGCAGCACTTCATACATGAAGCTAAACACAGTTGCACTGTAATACTCTCACATGTTTTTAACACTGTTAAAGTTACACCACAACCTCGAGCATAAGGGAGTGGATGACTGCGCTAACATGTTGATTAAAAATGAGCAATTAGCACATTAATCATTATCCTGACACAAGGAAACAGTTTCCCTGAAACTCAACAAAGCCTAAATGATTCATGATCATGTTAAATCACTAACAAAAAGAGCACGTGCTTCAGGAAGTTTCTTGCTCAAAGTAAACCCCAAATCCATTTGTGCATTAACTGCATTAAAAAAAATCATACATGTTAAATTTGAAGGATTATGTTTTTATTATATGAACTGATAAAAAAACAAATAAAAGCACAAGAGCATCTATGAATACAGTTCAAATGTTAACAGTGCAATAAGGAAACGGGCAGTTTGTTGGTCATCTTGGCCTCATTAACTGGCAAACGCTGAATCTGCTACTGCGCTTTCAGCTTTATTTTTTTTCAGATTCCCACTCAAAATAGGTGCATAAAATGGAAAAGAAAAAAAAAAATCTGCAGATTCAGCTACTCTACATTATGGACACCTTAGAAAAAGTGCGATCACTGATCAATATGACGTTCAATAACCTGGTCCAAAAGATGCATGTATTGCTGGGGATGTAAACATTCGGCCCAAAAATACACACAAACACCCTTCAGTGCCATAAACTTAAAGATACTCCACCAAAACATGAAAACTCTGTCATTATTTACTCTCCCCCTTTTTCTTCTGTGGAACATAAAAGAAGATATTTTGATGAATGTTGGTAACCAAATGGTTCAGCACTATCTTACAACCAATTTGTACGTATTTTACATGCTGGCTAATTTGTATGACTTCACTCGTACGATTTTGTACAATTTGCCTAGACCCCAGAGATGGGTAGGTTTAGGGGCGGGGTTAGGGGTGGGTCATTCGTACGAATTCATACGAATTGGGGAACTCGTAAAATACATAAGATTTAGCAAAAATCGCAGAAATTCAAATGAGTGAGGTTGTACGAATTCGTATGAATTCATTCAAATTGGGGAACTCGTAAAATACGTACGATTAAGCAAAAATCTCACAAATTCAAATGAATGAAGTT